GGATCAAAGGTTGGAGGAGTCCACCAATGCTGTCTGTACTGTGCTGCTTCAGGTATGTATGTGTCAGGCTCCATGGACAGGTTGGCAGCTGCCATAGAGAGCATGGCTTTGCAGAATGCGGATTGAAGGTGACAGGGGTGAGGGACTCTGACCTCATTCCAGGTGCCCCCTCTTCCAAGGGGACAAGGTGCAGTAGGAATGCGTCACTGGGAGGAATCACATACAGGCCCGTTTTTGGTCCTGGGCATGTGGTCATTCATTGTGTTATGGCTAAAGCTAATAACAGGTACTCGATTTAGATCTATTAGCTATGTTGCTATCCCTACAGTGGGAGATTGTAAATGTGTATTATGGACCAGACCAGACGCCCTCAAAATATTTTAAGAAGGTAATCTAGGCCTTATTTTAAAGGTAGATGTGAAGTGTGTGTTCCAGATGTGATGCAACTAGTCAAAGCACTTGACGTTAAGCAAAACACAGTTTATTTAAACAGAAGTAGTTAAAATATAAACAAAAGAAAGAGGAGGTTAGAATAACTTAACTATTGGAAAACTTAACCAAATAATAGGTACAGTACCTTTTACTGATTAACTGTTCCAATATAGTAACATCCCATAAACACACCCCTCAGCAAAAAGGTAAATTCAGACACAGATTCTTACAGATAATTCTCCAATCCAGGAGGAAACCGCATCAAGAGAGATTTCAGAGAATGTAGGAATCAGCTAGGAATAATTTTATTGAAGCTCCAACTGTTGTGGGACCGAAATAGCTTCTGACTGTTACAGTTAATAAAAACTAGAAAGCTTGATTTGTAGGAACTGGCAACTTCCCTTCAATTGTTACAACTGTTTCTAAAACAAAACTAAAGGCAACTTCTGACTGTTGACTTAGGCCGTCTCCCATAGCCACTTCGGTGCCTCTGTGTCTTCAAAAAAAAAGGACAAAATAACCTTTTTAAAGTGACAACATTGTCACATGTGGTAGGATCAATGGCCCCTTCTCCCCTGAACCCATAGGACCCACAAAAGGTGAAATTTCATCAGTAGGAGCGAGTTTATGGAGGTAATAAATTTTCAGGAGACATCAGAGTTCAAGGCACGTGGCAATTTGTTCATGCATCTACTGGTACAACGCAGGGAGAGGCCAAAGACTGCCCCAAATCTGGTCTCGACATGAAGGTCCAATTAACCACCTGATCTTCAGCTCAGATCGGAAGAAAAGCCAATGATTTTCTAATTTTAAATACAAGTATGTTGTCTTTTGTACATTTTTCTTGTAACATTAACATGGTGGCACACACTCCCTCCCCCTCTATACTATTGGTTAATTACTTCGTGGTTGTTCAACTATGATTATGTTTCCAGTACATCACTCTATTAGTAATTGCTTGTTGCTGTGATTTGAATGGGCTCTTTTGGTGTGTGGGAAACTGAACTCTCCATGGTTACTTGTGACCTTTTATCTCTCATTATGGCGTCTCTGTCTGCTATTTTGTACAAGACTGTAACAAAGTCTTCTTTGAGATTCCGCATTATTCTAACTCTTTTAGCTGCTGTCCTTGATAAGATAGGGAGGCCCTCTCTATTCCTTGTACTTAGTTTTTAAACCTTTCTTTCTAGAGTTTTGTTTAGTGATTTGTGTGATTTGTGTGTATGTTTTAAAATTTTTAATTTATTAGGAAACTATATCTA